TTGTTGCATGAACACTATTAGCAAAAGATGGATGAATTATCTAAAGTCATATCTGAATTATTCAAATACCAGCAGTTGAGTCAGCAACGTCAAAGTGAACAGTTTGCCTTATTAATAGGGGAACAACAGATAGCACAGCAAAAATATCAAGAAAAGCAAGAGGAAAGACTGGGAAAACAGGAAGAAATGCAGATCAAGGTTTTAGAAATTCAAAAGTTAACACTGGAGAAATTAAACAACAATCAGGCAAATGAAGGAAATTCTTCATATTCTAATAACATCATATTTAATTCGCTGGAAACTTTCAACTATGGGCCAGACGAAGAAAAAAACGTTTGAAGCGTACTTTAAACGATATGAAGATATTTTCTACACAGACTGTGAAAACTGGTCGAATTCAAGAAAAGTCAGTCTATTACTAAGAAAGCTAGGTACAGCAGAACATAGAAAATTTGTAGATTTTATTCTACCGAGAAGGACGAATGAATTGGAATTCTCGGAAACAGTGAAATTGCTAAAGGAGTTGTTTGAAGCAAATATGTCGCTTGGGCATAAGCGATGGTTATGCATGAATGTCGCTAAATCCGAAGAATTCAAGTGTTTAATTTTTGCTCTAGGAAAAGAACGAGGAGGAAAAAAAGGTTCCACCATATAATTGTAGACGTTGCAACGAAAGACACTGGGAGGTAAATTGCCCATATAGAAATAAGAAATGTTTCGTGTGCCACAAGAATGGACACAAAGGATCGTGTTGTAAAACGAAAAAAGTCAATAGCCGAATTAGACAAACAAATTCAAATATAAAATCAGATAGAGATTTGAGGAAATATGTGACGACTGAAATATTTAAAAAGAATATCAAATTTCAACTCGATTCGGGTTCAGATTTAACAATAATGAACTATAAAACATGGAAAATTTTAAAAAGGCCTACAATAATGAAGTCAACGAAATGCGCTCGAACGGTAACTGGAAAGGAAATTAACTTCGAAGGCGAGGTTGTACTTCCCATGAAATTGAACGGGATAGTTAAAAAAATAAAAGTTTTCATTCTGACAAATGGAGAAAACTTGATGGGTACAGATTTTATTGAAACATTCGAATTGTGGGATAAACCGTTAAACTCATTCTGCAGAAAAGTAGAAAGTAATACGCAAACAAGACAGGACATTAAAGAGGAATTAAAGAAAAAGTTTCCGGAAACCTTCACACCTGGTCTTGGAAGATGTAACAAGTTTGAAGCTAAATTTGAATTAAAGGAAAATACTATGTCAATTTTTAAAAAGAAACGTAACATGCCTTTCGCAAGTGTAGAGAAAATTAACGAAGAACTTGATAGGTTGGAAAAAATGGGAATTATTTCGAAAGTAGAATCTAATTCATGGGCTGCGTCGATTGTGTGCATAAAAAAGAAATCAAACCAAGTCAGAGTCTGCGTTGATTTTTCGACAGGTTTGAACTCGGTAATTAAGGACTACCATTACCCGTTACCGAGTCCGGAGGAGATTTTTAACAAGCTAAATGGTGGAGTTATATTTTCAAAAATCGACTTATCAGATGCCTATCTCCAAATTCCCGTCGAAGAGGAATGTTCGAAGTTACTAGGGATGGACACGCATAGAGGGTTATTCAAGTACAACAGGCTTCCTTTTGGTATTAAAGTGGCACCAGCCATTTTTCAACAAGCTATGGACGTCATGTTGAATGATTTAGACTTTGCGTGCGCTTAATTAGACGACATCATAGTAAGGAGCGAAATCGTCGACGAACATCGAGAGCATCTCAATCAAGTATTTAAAAAGATTCAGGACTTTGGTTTTAAAGTCAAAGAGTCAAAGTGCAAATTTGGTTTGGAGGAAATTAAGTATTTAGGTCACATAATCAACAAAAAGGGCAGATTTCCAGATCCGATTAGAGACATGCCGACGCCCACTAATGTGGCGATGCTACAGAGTTTTCTGGGGCTCGCAAATTATTATCAAGCGTTCATTAAAGGAATGTACAATCTAAGAGCTCCGTTGAATGAACTGCTAAAAAAAGACAAGGCATGGGAATGGACGGTAGAATGTCAGAAAGCCTTTGATGAAATAAAAAGAATGCTTACGTCCGACCTCTTTTTAACCCATTACAATCCAAAACTGGATATTGTAGTGGCAAGTGACGCTAGTTCATACGGGATAGGAGCGTGTATTCAACACATAATGCCAGATGGTTCTAGAAAACCAATTGCACATGCTTCGAGAACTTTACTCCCAGGAGAAAGAAGTTACTCACAAATCGAAAAAGAGGCGTTGAGTATCATTTTTGCCATAACAAAATTTCACAGATACATCCACGGCAGACATTTTATGCTTGAAACGGATCATAAACCACTGATCACTATTTTTGGTTCAAAGAAAGGGTTACCCGTTTATACGGCAAATCGTCTGTTGAGATGGGGAACCATTCTTCTCAGTTATGATTTTCACATAAAGCACCTATCATCCAAAAAATATAATTCATGCGGATAGTTTATCAAGACTCGTACCGAGTCAAGAAGAAGAAAGATTCGAAGAATCAATTATTGCAAATATCAGAGCAGATTATGAGGTGAAAAGCATGGTAAACAACATTGTAAGAGAGCTACCGGTTACACTAAAGGAAATTAAAAAAGAAGCTGAAAGCGATGATTTCATTTTAGAAATAAAAAGCAAAATGGTAGCAAATGACCAAAAAATGCAGGAGATTTATTCAATAGGTGAAGGAGTTTTATTATATGGTGAGAGAGTAGTAGTACCAAAAAAGTTGCAGAAAAGAATACTACGGGACTTTCATATGGGTCAACCGTGGGTTAATAGAACAAAAAGCTTAATGCGAAGCTTTGTATATTGGAAAGGAATGGATGTGGATATCGCAAACATGGCAGCTAAGGCACCACCTATATAGTACACAAACCATGTCACAAGACGGATCATCCGTGGACAAGATTACACATTGATTTCGCTGGTCCAGTAGAATATTATTACTACTTAATAGTGGTAGATAGTTTTACAAAATGGCCGGAAGTACTACGCTGCAAAAAGCCTACGTCCAATACCACAACAACTTTCTTGCATGAACTATTTGCACGGTTCGGTGTGCCAGAGTGTATTGTGAGTGACAATGGTACACAATTCACTTCTGAAGAATTTAAGGAATTTTGTGAGTTATATCAAATTAACAACATAACGACGCCGCAGTATCATCCGAGGTCCAATGGACTCGCAGAAAGATTTGTCGATACTTTAAAGCGCGCTCTGAAGAAAGCCTCAGAAGTTCCAACGGAAAAGACGCTTCAGCAATTCCTACAAGTATACAGAATCACGCCAAACCAGAGAACACACTCAAACATGGCACCAGCTGAACTAATGTTCGCTAGGAAAGTTAAGTCAGTGTTTGACAAACATTTGCCGGGAAAAAATAGAGTAAAGAATACTATGTATACAGCGAGAAAAAGATACACCTCCGGAGAGAAGGTGTTTTTCAAGTGCTACAAAAACAACGTTGAGTTCTGGGAGCAAGGCATAGTGGACAAGAGAATCGGTGACCTGGTTTACATAATTAAAGGGCCGAAGAATACTCATAAAAGGCACCAGAACCAACTTAAAAAATGTTACATTATAGAGCATGAAGAGAGTATACCGGATGAGGAGGAAGATCCCATTGAGGTAATGTATGATATGTTTCAAGTAGAACCTCCGCTGAATACTCCTGAACCGAGAAGATCCGGTAGGAAACGAAAGTTCACGGAACCATTGGACGTGAATCCAAACGGAAAAAATATTAAAATTAAGCGGATGGACATATGCATATGAAGTATGCAAATGGATCTACAAAGAAATAGCCATAATCATCAACCCATATAGGAAGCCAGTCTGAAATCCAAAAGGGATTCCAAGGCTTGGGAGGGGGTTGTTGTGGTAGGATCCACCTAATTTGCATGTGGAGTACCGACCATATAAATATGGAAGAGAGGGGGATTCAAGAGATTCAACCAGAGACTCTGCCCGACTGCGACTCAGTCAACACATTCTCCAGGAACGGTCTTACCAGGAATATACAAAAGACTATATGTAAATATTGTGTACACTTTCTTGTTTCAATACATTTTGTTCTAAGTACATTTTGTGTTGCATTATTATTCCATGCATTAGTCAAGTTTCAACAGTATGCACATTCTCTTTCTTCAATTTCTCCTCACTTTCCTCAATTTCTCAGAGTTAGGATTCCCTGATATTCATCTGATATTTCTTATATTGTTACTTTTTGATTTTCTTCAAGTTTCATTAGAATTCTAGCATGTATTTTTGCATCTTTTTTCACTTTCATCCCTTGAATGAAAATTAACCCTTTAAATATATCCAGAGACAGTTCATTGAATTTGAGTTTTTCACATTCCTTGTTAATGATTCCAGCATATATGACAAAATCTTTCTTTTCTTTTTTCATCAGATTCACACACTTCCAACAAGTATTGAATAACAAACTTTTCTTGCTAAAAATTTTAGTCAGAATATTTACTTTTTTTCAAAGCAAATTTCTCTTGTTTTTTGGTGCTAACTTTGTTAACAAAAGTCTTGTTTTTTCTCATCTTCTTAGTTGCTGCATTCTTCTCTGAAAATTTGCCTGTATCTTCAAAAATAAGCAGAAAAGGTAATTCCATCATCTGCATTATATGTAAATTCAGTTATGGCATTTGCCACCACATTGGGAGTATGAGTTTTGATTCCTTGTCGCCACTGTTATAACTCACTCCTAGTGGTTATAATATTATGTTTTGCTTAGGATACTCACCATGACATCATTAGAATTCTTCCTGACTGACTGCTGACTCCAAAGGACTTCTACTGACTCACTTTGAATTCTTTATTTAAAATGTCTTGCCTAGTTGATTTGTATTACTGGGGGTGGCTTATAACAGGATAACTGACCATATCTAGAGGAAGAAGACCCGATCACCAATGAAAATAAATAATACTCACAACAATTTTTTTCAGGTGCATTTTTGTAATTACATCTTCCAGTGTGGGAATAGGACATGATGTTGCACCCATAATGCCAGTATACAATGATGTCAAATCATATTTATTGAAATCAGCTTCTCTCAACAAATCAATGAACATTGTTGGAACCCCATACAAAGAATTACACCTGTGAAGATTTTAAATCTTAAAGTTACAATATCTAAAACACGTTACAATATCTAAGTTACACACATCATTATTAATGGCTTTAATTTCTTTGGATTGTATACAAATTTGGCAATTTAATAATCTATGACCAATGTATAAGCAACCAGGACCTGAAATAAAGAATTCAAAATTCTTTTTATCCTTGGTCTTCTTACACTGACAGTGAGGCAGGCAAAGGTTCAAGATCAATTGGAAAGTGTGGAGAAATGCAGACTAAGTAATGTTAGATTTAAGATGGCTGACAATATGCCTCCTGACAAATTCCTTTATCCTTGATCTTCTTACACTGGCTGTGAGGTGGGCAAAGATTCAAGATCAATTGTAAAGTGTGGAGAAACACAGACTTAGAATTGTAGTGATATGTAAATTAGGTTCTGTATATAAGGCAGTATTGCTATACTTATTGGAGAGTTATCTTCTCTTGATGAGATTACATCTGTCAGAGAAATTACCTATCATAACAATATGGAATTGCCAATTGGTTACTTAAACATGGAGGATCCTGAGTATGTAGAAACCTGGCTTAGGTGTTTCACTGCTTCGGTAAGAGTAAAGAAGTTAAAAGACACCAAAGCTAGTGGAGGAGGAAATGAAATTATGGATTTGTTTTAGGCCTCAGCAGGGTGTGAGGCCATAAAAAACATCTCTGTTAAGGTCTATCCCAAAGTTTTAGAAGATTTAGCATATGAAGAAATGCTCCGTTCAGTTTATGGTCCGTTTTTTGCAAATGTAAGACCAAAAAAAGATTGGTCATAGCAGAAAGAACTAAATTTCTTGAAAATAGACAGATCGCATGAAATTATTATACAATAAGTACAGTGATTTAAAGAAGTGTCAAGATATTGTAAGTTTGAAAGAATGGGTTTGAAACAAATGTCTATTGAAGATGAGCTAATTGTTCTGATTGAAGAAATGTTTGACATCTCATACAAATGTAAAATTCGAGAGACTGCTTCAAGCTCATAAGAGAAATCTGGAAGCATGGTGAAGTTGAACGGAGTAACTTTACTCATGCAGGTGGATACCAGAAGTGATGTTACGTTGATACCGAGCAATTTTTGGGAAAGGATGGTTAGACCAAAGTTAAGGAAGAGTAATCTCCAGTTGAAATGGTTTGATGGGTCAATCATCAAAATTTTAGGATACTTTGAAGGCACATTTGAGACAAAAAATCCTGCTAAGTTTTTCTTCCACCTCCGTTCTAGTTGGTGTCCATTTATCATATGAGCTACCTGCTCATATGCAAATTATACTAATTTGCATATCACTACATCTCCCTATAACGGAGGGGCCTTATGCCGCGAGTACTTCTTGTACTTCTTCTTGTGCCCTCCTGAACATCTTCCTTTATCTCTCTCCTTTCCCTTGGAGATCTAGATCTATCACGTCTTTCCCTATAATCGAATTGTTCCTCTTGCATACTCTGGTCTTCCTCTTCTAACTCATCTCTCTCTACTTCTTCCTCCGCAGTTTCATTCTGCATTAACTCTTCTGTTACATCAATAATGGGCATCTCTGAAGGCATTTCCTCATCCGATTCTTCTCCTTGGGATCTTATTTGGTCAGCATGAGCTAGAACACTGTTCCCATTTTCTTTATTTAATATTGCAGTATTATGTCCTTTCTGCATAATAAATTCGGCTGACTCGGGTTGCATATTCCTATTTCTTTTGTACCACATCTTTTGATTTGTGGCATATGACATAGTCAAAGGGGACCTTAATTGTCTGCCCATTAAGGCAGATGGACTTTCCGGCCTGCCTGCATGTGGAATTGTTCTGTAACTTAATAGTAATCTTGGTAGGAAAGCATCGATTTCCTCCTTCTGTTGCAAGCATGCTTTTATGCCCTTCTTTACCGTCTGGACCATCCTTTCCGCTGTCCCATTACTTTGAGGGTGGTAGGGAGGGGTCTTGTAAGGTCTGCATCCTATTTTTCTTAGCCATTCATGCAAATCAGCATCCACAAATTCTGGTGCGTTATCAGTCACCAATGTTCTCGGTGTCCCATTCCTCGAAAATATTACTCTTAATATTTGTTTTACGGTGGTACTTTTTTTTATCAGGTACTCTCACCACTTCAGGCCAACCTGAATATGCGTCTACTAATATTAATAATAGTCCTATCCCATTGACATAGGCATGGTCCATGTGTACTCTGCTCCATGGTTCTACTTCTCGGGCCATACATGTATTTTCTTTTTGCTTAAAATTCCTGAGTTCTGTGCATTTTTTGCATCTTTTTACGTAGTCTTCTACGTCTCTTGAGTACCCCGGCCACCAGGCTTCCAATTTTAATCTTCTTTGCGTAGCTGCCACTCCACAATGTACGTCATCGTGTACACTTTTTATAACCTGTCTCCTCTGTGTTTCTGGGGAACTACCAAGTCTCCATTACATATTATCCCGTTTTCTATAGTCATTCTATGTCTAATTTCTTTGAATGGTCTTTCAGCCATTGAACAATTTCCCCAGCGATTCTGTTTTATCCTCGACATTATTCTATTTAACACTGGGTCATTTGTAGTTTCAGTAGCCATTTTATCTACAGATATTACATCGGTTTCTACAAGGTGCAAGAATGTGTCTTCAAATTCCTCGTCGTTTTTGTCCTCCTCTCTATAAAACCTCAATCTAGATAAGGCATCAACGTGCGGTATCGTATTCCCTTTAACATATTCAATGTCAAAGTCGAACGCCATCAGTCTAATCGCCCAACGTAATATTCTGGACGTTGTAACTTTCGGTAGCTCTTTTCTTGGGTTGAAAATAAATTCCAGTGGTCTATGATCACTTTTCAACAAGAATTTTTTTCCCATCAAAAACTGTCTTGCTCTATGCGTTGTCCACACTATGGCTAGTGCCTCCCTTTCTATATTCGAATAATTGTGTTCAGTTGTTGTTAATTTCCTCGATAAGTACATTATGGGATGCCCATCTTGTGACAAAATACCAGATATGGACTGCTCACTAGCGTCAGTAGTTAGAGTTATGTCCTTCTTAGGGTCAAAAATTTGTACTATTGGCTTATTTGCCAGAATCTGTTTTAAGTTTTCAAAGGCTTTCTGTTGGTGTTCTAACCAAATGAATTCCACATTTTTTTTCTTAACTTAGCAAATGGCTCTGTCAACTAATTATATTTTGGTACATATTTTCTATAAAAATTTACCAAACCTAAGAAGGACTCCAACTCTTTTTTTATTTTTTGGTGTAGCAACTTTTAGAATTTTCTCTATTAGTACTTTATCTGGAGAGATCCCTTCCTTTGATATTGAGTAACCCAAAAATGATATTTCATTACTGTTGGTTACACACTTTTTTGTATTTATTGTCATACCAGCGTCTCTCAGCCGGTTCAGTATATTTTCAGTTTTTTTCTTTAAATCATCTTCATTTAAATCTCCAACACATATATCGTCTTGATAACAGATGGTATTTTCAACATTTCCTATTACTTTTTCAATAGCTTTTTGAAAAATTGCACTTGCCGTTTTTATGCCATACGGCATTCTTTTCCACCTTAACAGGCCTATAGGTGTGTTTATAGTCGTCACTTCTTTAAAATTTTCATTTATCGGTATTTGGTGGTAAGCTGATTTTAGGTCTATCTTCGAAAATACTTTCATTCCAGCAAGTTTATGTAAAGCTACTTCCACATTCGGAATAGGGTACGAGTCAGCACAAACTTTATGGTTCACCCCTATTTTATAATCTCCACAAATTCTCAGGTCACCATTTTTTTTCAATACCACAATGGGTGATGCCCATTTACTTCCTCCTGGAGGGGCAGGTTCTAATAAATCTTCCTTTATTAGCTTTCGCAATTTAGCTATTACCAACGGTAATAAATGCACTGGTATTTTTCTCGCTTCGTAGTAGGGGGGAAACATCTTTTAATTTCAAGCTAGTTTCATAGTTTTTTAATTTTCTTGTTTTTTCTATTTCTATCTCATTAATCAACTTCGTTGAATTTATTTTTAACACGTCATTCCCCAGTAGTCCATGCGTTTTTCGGCAATTTGTAACTATAATGGGTACTATTTCATATTTTTCTTTTAATTCTATTGAACCTTCAAAGTAACCCATAATTGCTATAATCGAGCCATCAAACTGATATAGTTGTACGTTGTTTTTTTTTAAAACGGTTTTCCATTTTTTCCCACAAATTTCTGGGTACTATCGTGACGTCACTACCTGTGTCGATTTGCATTTCGACAATACAGTCGTTGATTTTCATTTTTTTATTTTTGTATCTCCGTTCTTAGATCCAGTATTTTGTATATTATCCTTTTTACATTAAAATCTGTCTATTTTCATCCTCTACTCTTTCCACATTTTTCGTTTTACATACTTCTTTGAAGTGATTTTTTTTAAACACTTTGAACACGTCTTTCCAAAGGCTGGGCATTTTTCTTTTTTCATTTCATGAATTTTTCCACAGTACGCACAATTTTTTCTTTTTGTTTGTACCGTATATGTTTCAGCCATTATTTCTTCGTAGGATTTATTTTTATTTTGGTTGTAGGTATGTATTAATTCCTGCTGTTGTATAAATTCTATACACATATTCAAAGGCATGTTTGTAAGTTGTAACTGTTCCATTAACTTATATCTATGTGCCGAATTATGCATACCTTCAATTAATCTTAGTTGGATTAATTCTTCTTCCGTTGTCTGCTCTCCTGTTCCTAGTTTTTCGAATTCACAGTATTTACTCGCACTTCTTAACCGGTGTAAATATTTTACTATCGGTTCATCCACTTCCTGCTTCATTGCCATAAACTTGGTCCTTTCTGCAATCACCAGTCTTTTCTTTGGCCTCATGTTTCCCTTAATAACCTGACTTATTTCTTCGAAAGTCATTTCTTCTAGTTCTCGAGGGTAAACCATTGTAGCAACCTTCATAATCGCTTCACAACCAGCGGTAGCCATGAACAAGTCGGTGATTTCATTTTCCCCT